CAACTCTGGTCAAAAAACATACAACTTTTCCCCCGCATTCAAACAAAAAAACAGAAACTCCCCTAATTACCGAGGGGTGTTATAAAAAAATAAAAAAAAAAAAAAAAAAAAAAAAAAAGTGATTTAGTGTCAAGGCAAAAGACATTACATCATGCAGACAGGAGGCACTTAACAAATTCCTGCTAAAGGAAATGATTTAGACCTTTAGGTAGTCCCAAACCCTCAACAAAAAGCTCACTAGTTGGTTAGTCTCTGTGTTATTATTTTATGAAAATGTTCGTGTTATTTAGCAATAAAAACAGCAAAAATAAAGTTTATGTAGTAAAAATATGCCACACAACACTTTTTAAAAAGAGGCAGAGGGGAATTTGTAATAAATGCAAATCAAGTAATAATAAAATGTGAAAGTGTATGTGGTGGACAGGGCGAAAGTGTATGTAAGAGAAAGTGCTTTTTATACACTTTTATATAAACACAGGTGAAAACTGTGGGGACAAGTATGCTTTTTTTCCATGTTGCTATTCGCCACACGTTGTATTCATTCCATTAAATACCATATAAAATAAAGCTTTATTTCCAAATTTTCAATAAGCTTAAATAAAGCTGGAGCTTGGAAAGCTGTTACGTACAAAGTCTTCCTTGGCACCAAGTCGATTTTGCCTGTCTTTTTCTAGGAGTTCTTCCAGAATGGACCAGGCTGTAAGGCTTACTCCTGGCCTCAAACTTAGAGGTTTGTGAAGGATATTGTCATACATCTCAGCAACGTCTCGGCAATAAAAAGGAGGCTGGGGAAAAAAAAAGCAAAATAAACGTAGTGGTAACCAAATATGCGAAAATGGGGTTAAAATGGCTTTCACCTTGAGGGAGCAGTCAGTTAAGAAATGTATGGTCCTCTTGGTATGTGTAGATATCTGCTGTGTGGTTTCCTGAAGCAAAGAGATTCTAAAACCCAGTACGCAACACAGAGCTTACTTAATAAGCATTAACCGAATAAATTAGGGCCAGTTTGTTCAATAGCACCTTGTAGACAGCTGTTAAATTATATACAACTTGTAACAGTATCTGTTTTAGACAAAACCATCAACCTTATCGTAGGCATGATGACAGAATCGTTGGAAATGGAAGTTTAAGACAGATCAAACATTAATTTGAGGCTTGGGAATAAACTCACTAAAACAAAGAGATTTCTAGTGGATATGGAGGCCTGAAGATAATGCTCCTTAGTTACTTATGACGGAGATAATATTATGACTGTACTTTGCAGAATTAAAAATGCCACTGTGACAGCCAAGGCTTGGGGTATAGCTACAACACAAGCATTAGCTAGTTAATCATCTAATTAAAAGGTTTAAAGTAAAAATAAAGGCCAGGCATGATGGCTCACGCCTGTAATTCCAGCACTTTGGGGGACCAAGGTAGGCAGATCACTTGAGGCCAGGAATTCAAGACCAGCCTGGGCAATATGGTGAAACCCTATCTCTACTAAAAATACAAAAAACTAGCCAGGCATGGTGGTGCACACCAGTAATCCCATCTACTCAGGTGGCTGAGGCACAAGAATCAGTTGAACCTGGGAGGTGGAAGTTGCAGTGAGCTGAGATTGCGCCACTGCACTCCAGCCTTCGCAACAGAGCAAGACTCTGTCTCAAATAAGTAAATACATAAAATAACAACTTTTAAGAGAAAAGATGAGCTGTACAGGTTTCTGTAGTCTAGGAATGAGAGGGAGGAAGATTATCATGCTACTCGTATTCTATTTGCAAGGCTGTAATATGTAACCTTCAAAACTATTTCCTTTTAAATTAATGTATTCAGAGCACCAGAAACATTTTTCCAAAGAGAGAATTACTATATAAAATGTTACTTTTTTTTTTCCCAAAAACCAAAAACAATTTATTAACCTGAGAACTGGTCTCTAATATTTTACCAGTGGGTTTGTTTTTACCTTTTACATATTAGTTACTAGTATTTTTATAAAATAAAATGAATCTGATCTAAAACATTAAATTTTTCTTTTCACTCTCTTTTGGTAAAAATTAGAAAAGTAATATATGCTTATTGTAACAAATACAAACAATACAGAAGTTTATAAAATAAAAAGTGAGTCCAGGCACAGTCGATGACACCAGAAATCCCAGCACTTTGGAAGGCAGAGGCAGGCGGATCACTAAAACTCAGGAGCTCAAGACCAACGACGGCAACATGGAGGCACCCTGTCTCTACTAAAAATATAAATAAAGAAATAAATAAATAAGCAAGCAAGCAAGCCAGCCAGCCAGCCAGGTGGGGTGGTACAGGCCTGTAGCCCTAGCTACTCAGCACGCTGAGGGGGAGCATCAGAGCCTGGGAAATCAAGGCTGCAGTGAGCTGTGATCACTCTATCGCAATTCAGCCTGAGCAACACAGTGAGACCGTCTCAAAAAAAAAAAAGTAAAAATAAAAACTCAAGTATACGTAATTTATTTTTTAAACTTTTTTTTTTTTTTTTTTGAGATGGAGTCTTACTCGGCTGCCCAGGCTGAAGTGTGCAGTGGCATGATCTCCACTCACTAAAACCTCTGCCTCCTGGGTTCAAGTAATTCTCCTGTCTAAGCCTCCCAAGTATCTGGGATTACAGGCGCATGCCACTATGCCTGGCTAATTTTTATATTTTTAGTAGAGAAGGGGTTTCACCATCTTGGCCAGGCTGGTCTTAAACTCCTGACCTAAGGTGATCTACCCACCTTGGCCTCCCAAAGTGCTAGGATTACAGCTGTGAGCCACTGCACCCCGCCAAAAGATCTTAATTTTTAAACAGTCAATAAAAGTTTCATTAATAAAGTTATGTTTCAAATGTTTTCTTTTGAATCAACTGCATTTTATATATGATGATATATTTTCAAAGTCCTCTAAATAAATTCAAAGGATTCTAAAATATTAAGATGGCACATAAACAGTGCTTAAAGGGAAATCAGGTATAAAGTGGTTTTCCAATGTTCTAAGTCAGCAGCATAACCAGAAAACTCGATCTTTTAATATGCAGGTCACAGTCAAGGGCAAAGAAGAGACAGTGTTGGCTTTCACAGGAATCTATCATTCGAAACTAGCAAGGTGAAACAAATGCTCTGAAAGGTACTTTGTGTGCTGAATTTCACTAAAAGCTCCAGTTTTCAATAAAAAGCAAACAGACACTCAACTCAGGTCTTGGCTGACAGTGGCATTTATCATCAGCGGTAGTAGCATCCTCAGGGATTTGAACATGGTTCCCAACATGAGGCTGCTGGACACTTAGAGGACCACAAAGGGAGTCTAGAAACCATTCTAAATTTGTCAAAAAGCCCACAGAAAAACATACATTTACTCTTATAAAGATATTTGAGCTAATTAAAATGCCTACACTGTTTACTTTGGGTTGGAACAATATTAACTCAATGTAGTGCTAAAACTTTATTCTTGTTAATCAGAAGCTCTGGACAGCCTATGTGTCTTTAACCCTCGTAAGAACTGGGCAAACTGACGACATAAACATCATTTTTCTTTTTTTTTTTTTTTTTGAGACAGAGTCTTGTTCTGTCGCCAGGCTAGAATGCAGTGGTGCAATCTTGGCTCACTGCAACCTCTGCCTCCTGGCTTCAAGCGATTCTCCTGCCTTAGCCTCCTCAATAGCTGGGGCTACAGGCGCCCACCACCATGCCCAGCTAATTTTTGTATTTTTAGTAGAGACGGGGTTTCCCCATGTTAGCCAGGATGGTCTCGATCTCTTGACAGTGTGATCTGCCCGCCTTGTCCTCCCAAAGTGCTGGGATTACAGGTGTGAGCCACCATACCTGGCCAAATATCACATTTTTTCAAGAAAATCTTTAAGACATGGTGTTTTCAGGGAAAGGAATAGAGAGTGATCTCCAATGATGGGAAGAACTGAGCACCAATGTATTAATGAAATCTTATAAAAACAATAGGCAAAAACCAAATTTATTGATAAATGCAAAAATCTTTTTCTGTCCATTTTCTTAAAATTAGAGTGATGTCTGGGTAAACTGAATGAAAGCAGATAATTTTAATATTACAACTAGGTGTCTATTTCTAAAAATGTGGGGGGGGGGTGCGGTGAGAACGCCTGAAGTGGTTATTAGTATGACAGAGAAATAATTATATTAACTTAAAAAAACTAGTAACAAAATAAAAAGCATTTCTTTTTGTCCTTCTTTTTTTTTTTTTGAAACAGTTTCCCTCTTTTGCCCAGGCTGGAGTACAGTGGTGCAATCTTCACTCACTGCAACCCCTGCCTCCTGGGTTCAAGCAATTCTTGGGCCTCTGCCTCCCAAGCACCTGGGAATACAGGTATGCATCACCATACCCGGATAACTTTTTGTATTTTTAGTTGAGATGGGGTTTCACCATGTTGCCCAGGCTGGTCTCGAATTCCTGGCGTCAAGTGATCCGCCCGCCTTGGGCTCCCAAAATGTTGGAATTACAGGTGTGAGCCACGCCCAGCCTCTTTTTGTCCTTATTCCTAATGCAGTTGTTCACTTAACCAGGCTATTACTGTTCTGCTAGTGTCATCTAAGTGTCCATGAGATTCTTGGGGGAAAGAGAGAGACAGAATCAAATCAAATACACTGGAATAATGAAGTATAGAAATACATACCAATCCATACAGCATTTCATATAGCACAGCACCAAGGCACCACCAATCCACGGTATTGTCATAGGGCTGTTTTCTAATTACTTCAGGTGCAAGGTACTATAGAAAAGAATAAAATATTAGATCAACTTGGTAACAAAATTTATAAATAATTGAGAAATTTAACAGATTTGAGGTGTTGCTGTCATACTAAAACCAAATTATCAAGATATTCAATGGGTCAGGTATTCTCATGCTACACCAGTGGTTCTTAGGTAATGTCAACCAGGATACTTCAAAATACATATATTCCGCATTTCTCCTTGGAAACTGTGATGCAGTTAAAATAAAAGAGTATAGCAAAGGTATACTCTATAATAGTAGGTAAAGTAGGTGTTTGTGGAGAAAGTCTTTCAAATATTATTTTAGAAGTTCATTTGGTTATTATTCATGTTTTCCTCTTAAATAAATAATTTTTATTTTTGAGACAGGATCTTACTCTGTTGCCCAAGCTGGAATGCAGTGGCACAATCACAGCTCACTGAAGCCTTGACCTCCTGGGCTCCAGTGATACTCCCATCTGAGCCTCCCAAGATGCTGGGACTACAGGCATGTGCCATCACAGCTGGCTAGTTTTTTGCATTTTTCACAGAGATGGGGGTTTAGTCATGTTGCCCAGGCTGGTCTGGAACTCCCGGGCTCAAGCTATCTGCCTACATTCTTAATGTAGCAACTGTAATCTTTTTTTTTTTTTTTTTTTTTTCAGTTAAAGAAAAAAGAATGAATTGCATTCTCATTTAAGAATTACAGTATTAATTGTCTAACCTATTATTTGGAAAACTTACGTAAGTTGCAGATGTCTATTTATATTTTACTTTGTAGGAAATTTAGACTCATCACAACTTAACACAACTAAGACATGTCTTACAGCTAAGACAGTAAAACTGAATTTTACATTCCAAAATATATTACCTCTTCACATATGAAATACATGTAAGAAAATAATTTCCTCATAAGCCTTAAGTGACTTGAATAAATGGCAAAAAATATATATATTTATATATATATTTATATATAATATATATCTTTATATAGTTATATATAGAATATATTATATATAGTTTATATGTTTATATATATTTATATATATAATATATATTATACATTATATATATTCTCTGTATATATTTTTTGAGACAGAATTTCGCTCTTGTTGCCCAGGCTGGAGAGCAAAGGCACGATCTTGGCTCACCGCAACCTCCGCCTCCTGGGTTCAGGCAATTCTCCCGAATGGCATAATATTTTAACTATGAAATCAACAGACATAACAAAAAATGTTTCTTCATACATAAACCAAAACAGAATAGTTACAAATATATATAAGAGCTAGGGTTAGAAAGGAAAAAAGGAAAAGCACATTTCGAGGTAAATATTTGTTACTTAGAGATACGTTTAGTTAAGTTTCTGAACTCAATTAGAAGCCATTTTCTCACACATTTTCAACATTGTATTTTCAAGTACTCCATGATAAAGATAAAATATTACATGGTACCTGAAATCATTATAAATACCATGGAATTAGAATAGTTTAAAATAAACTGAACTTACGTGTGTCAAGTAAGAATAATAAAGCTTTCACATGAATTATAAGGATTATTACTATTGTCACAAATACTTATTTTTGCTAGCTAACATTATTAGAAAATGGAATGTGGGATGTTCTAGTTAAATTCTTATTTGTGATTTTTTTTTCCCACATCCATTGCTTTCTTCTCTTTTGGTAAGTAAATAATTTTATTACAAAAGATTTCAAGCATATAAAAAAATTCAGAGAAACCAATAAACTACAACTGAGATACAGTCAAGTGTTAATATTTTGCCATATTTGCTTTAACTTTTTTTTTTTTTTGGAGATGGGGTCTTGCTTTGTCGCCCACGCTGGAGTACAGTGGTGCGATCCCAGCTCACTGCAACCTCCGTCTCTCGGGTTCAAGCAATTCCCCTGCTTCAGCCTCCCAAGTACATGGGACTACAGGCACATGCCAACATGCCCGGCTATTTTTTGTTTTTAGTAGAGACAGGGTTTCACCATGGTGGTCAGGATGGTCTCGATCTCCTGAACTTGTGATCCACCTGCCTCAGCCTCCCGAAGTGCTGGGATTAGCAGGCGTGAGCCACCATGCCCAGCCACTTCAGCTCATTTTTAAAAAGAAAAACAGCTTTGTTAAAATAATCACATATCACACAATTCACCCATTTAAAGTGCGTGATTCAATGTTGTTAACATTCACAGAAAGAACACTTTCATCACTAATTTATGATTTTTTTAAAGAATTAGAAATATAATTTTCTAAAAACAAAAACAAAATATAATTAAATGTGTAAGAAAATATCAAGTAAACTTTTAACATTAAAAACAAATAAATACAATTTATCTTTGTTTGATTATTCAAAAGGGTTTTGCAGTATCTAACAATCACAGTTAAAAATACTTAACTACCAAGGCATGATTATCAGATATTTTCAGCTGGCTGGGAGCTGAAATGACAGTTTTTATTCTACTTTTCTTATTTTAAATTTATATATGCAATTTGTACTTCATATTTGCATTTTATACATGATTACATGAATGACAAATGAGATATATTTCTTACCTCTGGTGTCCCACAAAATGTGGTAGTGGTGTCAGAAATAGCAATTCCTTCTTTACAAAGCCCAAAATCTGTTAAGACAACATGTCCCTGACAAATACAGGGGCAGTAAGATAAAACAATGCATAAATATGAATTGACAATTTTTCAGTATTTTCTTTTTTTTTTGAAACAGAATCTCACTCTGTTACCCAGGCTGAAGTACAGGGGTGTGATCTTGGCTCACTGCAATCTCTGCCTCCTGGGTTAAAGCAATTCTCACACCTCAGTCCCCTGAATCGCTGGGACCACAGGCGCGTGCCACCTGGCTAATTTTTGTATTTTTAGTAGACACGGTGTTTTGCCATGTTGCCCAGGCTGGTCTTGAACTCCTGACCTCAAGTGATCTGCCCGCCTCGGCCTCCTAAAGTGCTGGGATTATAGGTGTGAGCCACCACACTCAGGCTATAAATTCACAATTTTTAAAACCCTTTATTTGGACATAATTATAGATCCACATGAAATTGCAAAATAGTATACCGAGGAAATTGTCACTGGTAAAATACTATTAACCAGACTGTCAACCTTATTCAGTTTTCACTTTTTACATGCATGCTTTGTGTGTGTGTGTGTAGCTCTATGAAATACAGATGTGTAGATTCATGTAATGACTAACACAATCAAGACACAAAACTGTTCACCTGCAAAGAAACTTCCTCATGTGGCTCCTTTATCTTGCACTCTATATCCCCTTGGATCCTGTCAACCACTAATCTGTTCTCCATCTCTACAGTTTGGTCATTTTGAGAATGTTATATGAATGAAATAACGCAGTACAGAATCTCTGAGACTTTTATTGCACTAAGCATAAAAACAACAACAAAAATTGAGAAGTAGTAGATTTTTAAAAGGGAATACTTACCACTGAATCCAAAAGAATATTTTCTGGTTTCAAGTCTCTACCAAATTAAAAGGGAGGAAAAGCAAAACTGAATACAAACTGAAATAAAACATTCTTATATATAATTTTTACAAGTATATTTAAAAATTGTACCTGTACACTATTTTGATGGAGTGTAAGTAACCCAATGCACTAGCAATTTCAGCAGTATAAAACCTAGCTCTGTGCTCAGGAAAGGACCGTTCTCTTTGCAAGTGGAAAAAAAGCTGTAAAATTGGTTGGGGGTGGGACAGAGAGAATGTTAGGATCATTCACACATAGCATTAAATAAATATACTCTGTAAATACAAAGGTAGGAACTGTTTTTTGCTACTTTGAATGTGAGCTAAAAATGTAACAAGGCACATAACTGTAACTCCTCTTTATCCATGTCCCCCATGTAACAATCATTCTCTCTCTTCAACCACGTGTCTTTGTTTACCCTTGCTAATGTCACTCATCTCCCATTTACTACTCAATGCAGTCATGTCCTCACCCTTCCAGGCAACTGCTCTGGAAAAGATTATCAATGAAGACCAACAATCTTGATACTGCCATGTAATTATCTTACAGGGCCTTTCTGGACTATGTTTTCCATTTGAAAAAAACAAACGCTATTCAGAGATTCAAAACTAGTGCCCAGCAGAACAAATATAACCCATAGGAAAAAAAACATATATATCTCCCATATATACTAATTTGCCTGAGTCAAAAACTGTATTTTTTAAAAAATCTGAATTAGTTGATAACATTAAAAACTGGGAATTTGGGGGTAAAAATTCAGTTTTACTTAAAAAAAAAAAAAAAAAAAGAAGCTCTGGCCCATTAGGCCTACATTTCACAGCTGCAGAAACTGGCTGCAGCTAAACAGCAGTTGGACTCTCTGGTTCATTTCTTATACTTCCTAATTTTTAATTTATTTCTTATAACTTGGCCTTTAACTAAGGTTACTGCCTGGGGGACATTTCCACTGGATCCCTTGGCTTCTAAGACAATCGTCTCTCCTTGAGTGTTGGGGAATTCCATCTCTGCTCCTTTCTGGCCTCAGAAAATGGAGGGATGACAGAGTTTCTGCCCTTGGTCCACTGTTATTCTTTCTCCAAATACCCTTCCCAGGTAATTTTATCCTTGCTGATGATTTTAACCACCACCTCTATGTTGATGTCTCATGGACATTACCCAAAGATTTTGATGCACAAAATCAATGAAGAAGCTGAGACTAAGAGAGGTTTGCTTATCTGCCAAGTGTCATAAAACTTATTTTATTCTACTTTACTTTAAAAAATATATGAAGTAGTATACTAAATTAAGTATTCCTATGTCAAGGTTAAAATATTCTGAGTATGAACACTGGGGGTAAATAAGAGTAATAATGTATGGAAACCACACTCCTGCCTCTTCTATCCTTTCTCCTCATCTTTAACCCTTGTCTACCTATTGCCCCACTCAACTTCTCCTCCACCCACCGTGGCATTCTATTTTGTTCTCCTTTTTTCATTATCTTGCATCTTTCAGATGACAAGCCTACCTCTTTCAATCTTTGCCACTCAGTTTATGAGCAGTCACTGTATAAAAAGGTCTCAGAAGCAAAGCCCTAAAAGAGCACGAAGAAACCACACATAAAGCAGGAAACCCACAGTAGGAGCTCACCTGCACTTAGATGCCTCACATGAACATTTCAAAGACACAAGGTGACACCTAAGAATGGGCTTTGCAGTCAAGATATCTAGGTGAAATCCAGGGCCTGACACTTACTAGAACATTGGGTAACTGAGACAGTTATTTAACCTCTCTGAACCTCAATTTTCTAATTTATAAATAAGAAAATTTCATAAATGGGCATAATAGTGTTTTCTGAAAGAGTTGTGATTTACTGATATAATAAATGTAAATTAACTGCAAAGTGCCAGGCCTCAATAAATTCTCTTTATCTGTCAGCACTCAGGCACGCACAAAATTAAACGACAACCTTCACGGTGAAAACAATGGGGGGTCACCTGCATCACTGAATCAGGGTGCCTGAGAGACTCATAATCTTGCCTCTACACTGAAGAGTCTTAAGAGATTTTTTTTTTTTTTTTTTTTGGGCACAGGGTCTCACTTTGTCATCCAGGCTGGAGAGCAGTGGTGTAATCATGGCTCACTGCAACCGTGACCTCCTGGGCTCAAATTATCCTCACATCTCAGCCTCCTGAGTAGCTAGGACTATGGAGGCATGCCACCATGCTCGGCTAATTTTTGTTATTTTTTTGTAGAGACGGGGGTCTAGACTGCCATGTTGCCAAGGCTGGTTTTGAACTCCTGGGCTCCAGCGATCCGTGCACCTTGGCCTCCCAAAATGCTGGGATTACAGTCGTTGAGCCACCACACCTGGCCTTAGGGTGCTAAAGGACTTTTGTCACAGATGTAGAAAAGTGAATAATCATTCTTTTTTTTGTTGTTGTTGATATATCACAATGTCATAACTTCTTTTTTTTTTTCTGATATCAATTTATTTCTTTTTTACAGTGAAACAGATACTGACAGCTTATATATTAATATTTGTTCAACTGTAAAATAAAATGTCTGTTCACATACATAAGTCATTAATTTTATCTTCTTATTTAAAAATATACATATATATATATTTTTTTTTCCCATTTATTTATTTTATTGCATTTTAGGTTTTGGGGTACATGTGAAGAACATGCAAAATTGTTGCATAGGAACACACGTGGCAGTGTGATTTGCTGCCTTCCTCCCCATCACCTACATCTGGCATTTCTCCCCTTGCTATCTCTCCCCAGCTTCCCACCCCCCCTCCCTCCCCTATTTCCCCCCAACTGACCCCAGTGTGTAGTGCTCCCCTCCCTGTGTCCATGTGTTCTCATTGTTCAACACCTGCCTATGAGTGAGAACATGCGGTGTTTGATCTTCTGCTCTCCTGTCAGTTTGCTGAGAATGATGGTTTCCAGGTTCATCCATGTCCCTACAAAGGACCCTAACTCATCGTTTTTGATGGCTGCATAATATTCCATGGTGTATATGTGCCACATTTTCCCTATCCAGTCTATCGTCGATGGGCATTTGGGTTGGTTCCAGGTCTTTGCTATTGTAAACAGTGCTGCAATGAACATTCGTGTGCACGTGTCCTTATAGTAGAACGATTTGTAATCCTTTGGATATATACCCAATAATGGGATTGCTGGGTCAAATGGAATTTCTATTTCTAGGTCCTTGAGGAATCTCCACACTGTCTTCCACAATGGTTGAACTAATTTACACTCCCACCAACAGTGTAAAAGTGTTCCTATTTCTCCACATCCTCTCCAGCATCTGTTGTCTCCAGATTTTTTAACGATCGCCATTCTAACTGGCGTGAGATGGTATCTCAATGTAGTTTTGATTTGCATTTCTCTGATGACCAGTGATGATGAGCATTTTTTCATATGTTTGTTGGCCTCACGTATGTCTTCTTTTGTAAAGTGTCTGTTCATATCCTTTGCCCACTTTTGAATGGGCTTGTTAGTTTTTTTCTTGTAAATCTGTTTTAGTTCTTTGTAAATTTTGGATATCAGCCCTTTGTCAGATGGGTAAACTGCAAAAATTTTTTCCCAATCTGTTGGTTGCCGATTCACTCTAATGATTGTTTCTTTTGTTGTGCAGAAGCTGTGGAGTTTGATTAGGTCCCATTTGTCTATTTTGGCTTTTGCTGTCAATGCCTTTGGTGCTTTGGTCATGAAGTCCCCGCCTACACCTACGTCCTGAATGGCTTTACCTAGATTTTCCTCTAGGGTTTCCATGGTGTTAGGTCTCACGTTCAAGTCTGTGAATAATCATTCTTTTTACAATGTTCCCCAAAAATGATCTAGGTGCGTCTGACCATCCTTTGGTTTTGCAGAATATTAACTAATTTTCCTTACAGTTGCTTTATTCTACAGTTAAATGCACTAAATAATGTTGAAATAGTCTTTTTCTGCTCTGAGATTGAAGATCCCTTTGTAAAGATATGACAATACCTATTAGTTAAAATACTTTTTAGACATTCACAGGTCAAAGATCAAATAAATTAGGAAGGTGTGAGGATTGAGAAGTCAGCTGCTTAGATCCTGGAATCAGGCTGCCTGAGTTCAATCCCTCCCTCTGATACTAACCACATTACTTCTACAAAGTACCTAGCGTCTCTGTGCCACAAGTTCGTCTTACATAATAAGACTGTTGTGAAGGCAAAATTATAAGTACACAGAGCCAGAGTGATGGACACTAATTAGTATTCAATGGAAATTATTACTATAATTATCATAATAGTAGCATTTCCCAAAGTGTATTTCAATATTCATCTGAATCAGAGTTTTGTGTAATACTTAAGGGATTGGTTGAAACAAAAAAGGGGACTATATGGTTTTAAAAAATTCTCTTAAGATATCCTGGCTTTGAGGAGGTTGAGGCTGCACTGAGCTGTGATCACACCATGCACTCCAGCCTAGGTAACAGAGTGAGACTCTGTCTCACCAAAAAAAAAAAAAAAAAGATATCCTGATTTTAAGGCAGAATTTCTCAAAGTCTTTAATATGCTGAGGCATACTGAGTATCACAAAGAAACAGTGAGTATCACAAAGAAACAGATATAACATGAAACATTTCCAAACAGACTTTATCATAAAGCCTTTTTTTTTTTTTTTTTTTTTTTTTTTTTTTTTTTTTTTTTTTTTTAAAAGAGATGGAGTCTCATTCTGTTACCCAGGCTTCAGTGCAATCACAGCTAACTGTAGCCTCAAACTCCTGGGCTCAAGTGATCCTCCTGCCTCAGCCTCTTGAGTAGCTAGGATTAAAGGTACAAGCCACTGAGCCCAGCTACCACCACAGAACCCCTTATTAGAGGACTATCTCATCTGATTAATAATTTGCACATCTTGGAAAATGAGAAGCTGGAGTAATATTTGTATGCAACTCTTGAGACAATTGCCTAAATTACGCATGATATTTTATTCTAATATTTCAACATGATATTCTTGCTATATAGTTTAGTGACAAATCTGTCCATGAAGCTAGCAGCTTCATACCAAGGTTCTTTTATGAACCATCTCAACTATGCCATATGCTTAAAAGCTCTGTGTTACAATTCTCCACATCCTGTATTATATTCAGCCAGTACCTTGAATATTATTGATACAAAAAGCTACTGATTTTGTACTGTCCTTCTAAAACTTACAAGAAAAACTTTGACTTTGTGCTATTTTTCTAAACTATTAATATTAGAAAACTCATTATAAAACTCACCTCCCCTCCATTAACAAAGTCCAGAACAAAATAAAGCTTTTCGGCTGTTTGGAACGAATAATGCAACCCAACCAAAAATGGATGTTTCACGTTTTTCAAGAGCACATTACGTTCAGCCATAATATGTTTTTGCTGGAAAAAAGGCAAAAGATCATTTGTATTATACACTAGAAAACAAATCTCTTAACAGAAAATGGGCTTGGGAGAAACAACAGCTATTTTATTTTACCTCTTTTCTGTTGAGAACTATTTTCTTCTGTAACACTTTGACAGCATAAAATTTTCCATCCAGTTTCCGTTTTGCAAGAAGAACCTGTTATGGTTAAACATTATGTATACTATTAGAAATTTCAAATTTTGATAGAAATGATTCACTTGTCAATACATCAATACTTCTTAAATTTTGTAGAAAGAAATTCCACAAGGGACCTAGATTATGTTTTTGTTTTAGAAATCAAGTAGTCAGGCACCATTTCTTTGTCACTTAATGTGTTGATATTTGAGATTTTTTTACTAAATTTAAGTGCCCAAAATCTATACTGCTTGAGAACTTTGTGTGTGTATGTACTCATGCGCTCCAGCCCTGAATCCTGGAGACTACCTGTTGAAAATATTGTTATAAACTTCATGGCTATATTAATAAGGATAAGGAAATGATTTTTAGGTAACGAAAATGTACTGTTTCATACTGAGATTCTTCTTAACAGGTTTTAAATTCAGAAGAGTTCAGAGGAAAAAGTTCCATGGATTTCTATAGTGGTCTGGGTCGCATGCAGATGCTTTAAAGAATCTGAAGAAATCTAGAGTATCTTGTAGTGGTGCAATTTTGACTCACTGCGGCCTCGACCTCCCCAAGGCTCACGTGATCATCCTGTCTCAGCCTCCCAAATAGCTGGGACTACAGGTGTGTGCCACCATACCTGGCTAATTTTTGTATTTTTTGTAGAGATGGGGTTTTGCCATGTTACCCAGGCTGGTCTCAAACTCCTGGCCTCAAGCAATCCACCTGCCTCGGCCTCACAAAGTGCTGGGATTACAGGCGTGAGCCACTGCACCTGGCCTGCTTTTCTTTGTTTTATTGTACTTTGTTGGCTTGTAATCATTTTGCAAGATTTTACTTTTGAAATTAAACATACCATACATATAGAAAAATTCGTATCATTACATCTCAATAAATTTTTACAAAGTGAATATACCTATGTAACCAGTATGCAGTTCAAAAAATAAAACACTTCCAGTAGCCTGAAGCCTCTCTTTTGCTAAATCTTAATCACGACTCATCCTTCTCCTCAAAGGCAACTACCACCGTGTCAACTTGAAATAACAAACATAACTTTTGCCTTTTTGAATTTCATGTAATTAGAATCACATGGATAAAGCTGTCTGTCTCAATTCTTTCACTCTAAATTATATAAAATATTCATTCACATGTGGCATATAGCATAGTTCTCATATTTTCTTTGTTATGCAGAATATTCCATTATATGACACACTACAATGTATCTACTCTCTTGCTGATATATAGTCAGATTATTTATGAGGAGTGATGCTATAAACATTCCTGTATATACACTTTCTAGTGGATATTCATTTCTGTTGAATATGTAACTAGGGAGTAGAACCAATGTGTCATAGGTAATGCATATATTCAGCTTCAAGAATTAACACCAATTTTCAACAGCATAAAAAACAAAACACCTAGGAATAAATCTAATTGGAGATATGCAAAAATTCTAAACAGAATATCATAAAATGTTATTGGGAAAAATTAAAGATGAGCTATATTAGTAAAGCAATAGACCACGGTCGTGGATTTGACAATACAATATTGTAAAGATAATTCTTCCCAAATTGATCTACAGGGTCAATGCCATCCCAATCAAATTCAAATAGAATTTTTACAGAAACTGACACGCTGATTCTGAAATTTATATTGATATGCAAAGTACTAAAAATAGTCTCTTGAAGAGCAAGAAGAAGGGAGAACTTATTCTGTCGAATATCAAGCTACAGGTGACATGACAATGCGGTACTAGTGCCAGGACAGTCAGATAGGCCAATGAACAGAAATGCCATCTAGAAACAGAAATACATAACTTATAATCTGAAGAGGGTGGATGTGGTAGCTCACGCTGGTAATCCTAGCACTATGGGAGGCTGAGGAAGGCAGATCACTTGAGGTCAGGAGTTCAAGACCAGCCAGGCGAATGTGGTAAAACCCCCATCTTCACTAAAAATTCAAAACTTAGCTGGGCATGGTGGTGTGTGCCTGTAATCCCAGCTACGTGGGGGGCTGAGGCAGGAGAATTGTTTGAAGCTAGGAGGCAGAGGTTGCAGTAGGCCAAGATAACTCCATTGTACTCTGCACTCCAGCCTGGGTAACAGAGTGAAACATTGTCTCAAAAAAAAAAAATCTAAAAACAGATCTGTGAAGGTATAAATAGTGAATACATGAAAAAGGTGGCCCTGCATATCAGGTGGCTCATCAAATGGGGACAGAACAGTTTTCACAAACTGTATAGGATCAGCTGGTTATCTACATGGCAAAAGATGAACGGTGATGCTATGCCTCACATTATATGCAAGAACCAAATCCTGATAGATTCTAGATAAAAACATGAAGTTTCCAAAAAATAATCCCTTTTTTTTTTTTTTTTGAGATGGGGTCTTGCTACGTTTCCCAGCCTGGTCTTAGACTCCTGAACTCAAGTGATCTTCCTGTCTCAGGGTCTGGAGTAGCTGGGATTACAGGTATGTGCCACAATGGCTGGCTCAGATAATGCTTCTGTTTTTAATGACAACTATCTCTAGCATTCCAATAGAATTTTGGGCATTTTGAGAGCAGGATTCATTTCTAACTTTCTATTGCTTATACTAGCACAATACTCAGCATGTAGCAGATGGATAATATGTATTTGCTGAGTGAATAAACACACATGGGTTTAATTGCATAGCCACAGTTTCTAGTCTCAAAGAAACTCAGAAAACAAATTAGAGTTACCAAAAGCTACAAATATAGCAAAATATAATTAAACATATACATATTCATTTTTACTAAAGACTGAAGTGCAGTGCAAAAAAAACACTTAAAATATATTCAATGATTCTGGTAACTTCATCTATGATGCGTTCTTATTAACCTTGGCCTTAAGTGATTCTCCTTCCTTGGTATGGCTATACTGCCAAGGTTACACAATTCATCTGACACCATAAGAAAATAAGCAGGGCCTTTACACATTCATTTCCTTCTCAAACTGTTATTTATACTGTTGCTCATTTTTGTCTTTCTAGCTTCAACTTAAATAGCATGTCTTCTGAGAAGCTAAGTGGGAATCTTCCTTCAGCTACCTATTGTCCTTTGTCATTTCACCCTATTCTTCATTTCCTGCACAGCTATTATTATTTGTACTTATTTACTTGACTGAATATTTTTAATTGACTATTCCCCCCCACCCTAGATTGTAAGCACCACAAAGGTAGTAATCATGTCAATTTCCATAATTTTCTAATCAAGGCCCAGTAGGGCACCTGGCACACAGTGGGTGCTCAACAAATACCTTCTCAAGTAAGTGAACTTTATTTCAGAATTTGAGTAGATGTCTTTTCTCCCTAATTATTGTTAGTATTTTGAGGGTAGAGAAAGTATGTTAATTCCATATCCTGCAACCAAAAAGTCCTGTGGCTCACATACATAAAGCATGCATTCCTTAAGTACTTACTTATTGAATGAGAAAATAAAAATACTTTGGGCTGGGTGTGGTAGCTCACATCTGCAATCCCAGCACTTTGGGAGGCGAAGGTGGGAGCATCACTTGAGGAAAGAAATTTGAAACCAGCCTGGGCAACAGAGCAAGGCCCTGTCTATGAAACAATTAAAAAATTAGCTGGGTGTGGTGGTGTGTACCTGTAGTCCCAGCCACTCAGAAGGCTGAGGTGGGAGAATGGCTTGAGCCCAGGAGTGGGAGGATGGCTTGAGCCCAGGGGTTCAAGTGTGTTATGACTGCACCACTACACTACAGCCTGGACAACAGATCGAGCCCCTGTCTCTAAAAAACCAAAAATCAAAACCAAACAAAAACCTAACAAAACACTCTTACCTTGCCAAAGCTTCCTTTTCCAATAACTTTTAAGAAATCAAAGTCGGTTGGTTTGGCACTGAAATAAATTAACAATAAGAATTAGCCTCCTAGAAACTGGAAAGATTAACTTTTAAACATTTCTTAGCACTTCATTCTTTATAAATAAATGTTGGGCACAAAATACTTCAGCATATGAGCTCCAGCTTTCCTGCTGAGTATCTCATCTTTCATATACAATAGGTAGCATGAATAGTAACATCTACTATCTGATTAAATAAAACATTTCCTAACTTTATTTAAGCCTCATTAAGTTCTGCTTAAGAGGAACTTCAATAATACTCTCTTTGGGAGGAAATATATATGCATAGCCTACACGTAGAGTTTTGAACTCAAAATACCTTCTATCTAAACCAATTTTACATGGCCTGGTGTTGTTGAGGAAACTTAGTGATACATTCTAAGGACTATATATAGCATATAAGGTAATTCTGAAAATGAAGTTGCTAGTTGGAATACCTAGTAAAGATGCTAAGAATAATTTATGATGGATAAAAAAAGTCATTACAGTGTTTCACATATAAATCACTTATTGTACATTAAAGATAGAAGACTTCTCAGCTTATTCTCATGGATGGTAACATAGGAAAGCCAGGAACAGAAAAGCCAGAGGGAATACTAAGACTGCCCTTTTATTTCTGTTGGCCTATCAGGTAAAAACAGCATTGGCTGTTACGTAGGCAAAAACACATGACAGCAGAAAGGGGAGCTTAAGCAGCCAGAAGAGCTGTTTCCTCCAACAGGGTCTGAATTCTTAATTTGTATGGGAAGAAGGAAATAAATCCATTTAGATTTCGAATTTGCTTCATTATCAAAATAAAGTTAATTCAAACATGAGAGTAAAACCAGGACTAGGTTAAATAATGACAGGTAAAGATTAGTGAGATAAACACTTAGCTATATTTAGATGTTTTTCTTCTTCAAAAACCTGCTCTTTGGACTATTTTCTTCTTTAAAGATATGCAGAGGTACTGAATTAACTTTGTAAACAAATCTAACAGGGAAAAACATGCAGACCCCTCAAACAAAGTAAATAGGCAAACTGAGGCCATACTCCAAGCCCCATTGTTAACTGCTAGGGATGAACCTTAACTGAAAGCAAATTTCCATTTTTTGGCCAGGCATGGTGGCTCATGACTGTAATCCCAGCACTTTGGGAAGCTGAGGCAGGCAGATCACCTGAGATCAGGAGTTCAAGACCAGCATGCCCAACATGGTGAAACCCTGTCTCTACAAAAATACAAAAATTAGCTGGGCATGATAGTGGGTGCCTGTAATCCCAGCAACGCAGGAGGCTGAGGTGGAAGAACTGCTTCAATCCAGGAGGCGGAGGCTGCAGTGAGCCGAGATCGCACCATTGCAGTCTAGCCTGAGTGACAGAGCAAGACTCCGTCTCAAAAAAAAAAAAATCCATTTTTTGTGCTGCCACTTTTGTTCATGATGCTATGAACAGAAAAGAATGCTCAAAACCAAACTTCCAGTTAGCATCCTATTTATTTGCTTTCCTTTGAAGCAAAAACTCTTCAAGTAAGTTTTATAAATTTGTTGTCTCTACCTGCTGTCCTCTCCCCTCTGGTTCTCTTTTGAACCCTTTCTGATCAGGGTCTTATACTAACAACCACATCATTGAAATTGCTCATTAAAAGTCACCAATGACTTATGAAATCCATGAGTCAATTTTCAGTCTTCATCTTACTTGCCCTATCAGCAACATTAACAGAGACAACTCCCTCCTCTTCCAGACACTCTTTCCCTGACTTCAGGAAACCATATTCCTGGTTTTTCTCTCATCTTACTGACTGCTCTTTCTCAGTCTCTGTTAGAGTTCTTTCCTGACCTCATAATGTTGAAGTGTCCCAGGATAAAGCCCTTGGACCACTTCTCCCATCTGCCTATAATCATTCTCCAAGTAGAACAAAAGGGTAGAGAAAGCCCAGAATTAAAAAACCCTTCAGAATAAATGTAATATGCCTGTAAGGATAATTACAAGTAAGGGCAGCAACACTATATTCCTTCTCCAAACCATGGCAGACATTACAAATCAATTAGTCTGGGAATATGGGGAGAAACTGGGTAAACAAAGTTTAATAGCCTTTAATATGCTAATGTCCATTATGACTCCTCTTCAACAAGTTGGCTAACAACTGGAGTACACCAATCACACCAATCACCAGCAGAATGTCAATTAGGCCTCCGAGAGTGCTTTTTTTCAGAAGACCTCATAGGACTTATGGTCCCTTGGGAACACACACACACACACACACACACACACACACACACACCCCAGAAAAGTGATAATGACAAAACAGCAGACAAAACCAATTAACAATTTGTGGATTAAAAACTCCTCAGGGTTCTCCTAAAGCAATGAAAATGTGGAGTAGTAAATTAGTCAAGCATATGACAGCACTGTATTCACTGTAACTATGGTTATATTTCAAAGGCCTCCAGTCAAATTAATGTAATTATACATATCTGCATACTCTCAAAAAAGATATTCCTAAAATTCAGTTAAAGAATTGTTTGAAACAAATTAAACATACTGAGGATTTCCAGATGGTCCCAAGTTGATGTTCTGTGAGGTAGAGTGTAGCTGTTAAGATGGGGAAAAAAAAACAACATTCTTATTGGAGCTTCAAAAATTGTTAATTAGTGTTTTGAAAAACATTTATAACTGTACCACAAATATTTGGTTTGTTGCCATGTTAAAGAAACCCAAGATTCTGATTCTCAGTAAGGGTATAGACTTACTTGGAAATATATATAATTGGCGAAAACATAATCATTTTTATTACGGTAATTTTCAAGAACTGTTGTAAGAAAAAAGGTAAGCCAGAAATCAAGCTCTAAGTAGGTAAATGAATGAAATAAACTAAGGAAAGCTCCTTGGAAGAGGTGGGCATTGAAACCGCAATTTAAGAGGGATCACTTTTTTAAAAACTGGTTAAAAACGGCTTTTTATTTTTCAAGTTTTCAAATAGGTTATCAAAGACAGAAACAATAGGATGATGACAATGATGATCGCAAATGCCGGATTTTCAGTTTTTAATTTGATGGTAGGTAAATGCAGATGAGGCAAACATAGACAGCACTGCTTTTCTTTCTAATTCTAGCACTGTGGTAGCACCAAAATTTTATATAGGCTTTTCTCTTTTGCAACAGTTAACACAGTAAGCTTAAGCCTTGGTATTAATTTAGAAGTAAATCTTTATTTACCTAGTATGCTATAAAGAAATTTAAGTAATAAAATATTCTAGTTCATTAATAATTAGCTAAAATTTTAACTCAAAAATCCCAGAAGATTAATCTAGTGATCCTATCAGAGTGGGCATTTTGTATAAAAGCCAAGTGTAAGTAAATTCCGCTTCAAATAAATGAACTTTAAACTCTTTATACATTCAGATAATTAAATCAGTTATGAATGTTTCAAATATGTATACTTTTACTAGTGTTCTGTATAAATTATACTTCATATAAGCTATACATGCAAAAAAAACTTCTCTAATCAGAAGAAATAAATATTTCTTTTTGAGACGAAGTTTTACTCTTGTTGCCCAGACTGGAGTGCAATGGTGTGATCTTGGCTCACTGCAACTTCTACCTCCTGGATTCAAATGATCCTCCTGCCTCAGCCTCCAGAGTAGCTGAGATTACAGGCAGCTGCCACCATGCCCAGCTACTTTCTGTATTTTCAGTAGAGACAGGTTTTGCTATGTTGACCAGGCTGGTCTCAAACGTCTGACCTCAGGTGATCAACCTGCCTTGGCCTCTCAAAACGCTGGGATTACAGGCGTGAGCCATTCCACCCAGCCAAGAAAATTTTATCTCATCAAATTTCTTATGGTAGACATATGAAATATACATTTTTACTTAAATTCATTTCAAATTTATAATCTCTAGAATATAAACTATTTTTTAAAATAAAGGGAAATAATCTCAGCCTTCAGAAGTTCTTAAAAAGTTTCTGGCTGGGAGCGGTGACTCATGCCTGTAATTCCAGCACTTTGGGAAGCCTAAGTGAACAGATCACCTGAGATCAGGAGTTCGAGATCAGCCTGCCCAATATGGTGAAAACCCCATCTCTCCCAAAAATACAAAAATTAGCTGGGTGTGGTGGCGGGCACCTGTAATCCCAGCTACTCAGGAGGCTGAGGAAGGAGAATTGCATGAACCCGTGAGGTGGGGTTGCAGTG